CCCCCAGGGCCGCGGGGAGCCCAGACATGGGCGTTCGGCTGCCCCGTGGCGTGTCGGTACCTGCGGGAGGGAGCCCGGCGGAAAGTCCCTTCTTCCTATGAGCAGCGCCTGCTCCCGGTGCTGGGCTCTCGCCATGGACACTCTGAAAACCACCTACATCGTGCTGGAGCTCATCATCGCCGTGCTCTCCATCGCTGGCAACGTGCTGGTCTGCTGGGCTGTGGCCATCAACAGCACCTTGAAGAACGCCACCAACTATTTCCTGGTGTCTCTGGCCGTGGCTGACATCGCCGTGGGGTTGTTGGCCATCCCTTTCGCCATCACCATCAGCATTGGCTTCCAGGTGGATTTTCATAGCTGCCTCTTCTTCGCCTGTTTCGTGCTGGTGCTGACCCAAAGCTCCATTTTCAGCCTGCTGGCGGTGGCCATCGACAGGTACCTGGCTATTAAGATCCCGCTGAGGTAAGAGATTGGAGTGGGAGGGCAGCCACATTCCCTGACAGCCTGGGTCAGACCTCCCTGCTCGTAGGGTGCAGTAACTTCTCACCTCCAGTCCTGCCCCAAAGTTTTGCTGCTCACAGGTGACGAGAACAGCAGAGGTTTGGCACTCGCTGCAGGATTGGGATCAGTATCACACCTCTCGCTTCAAAATACACCTGGAAGTTCGGTTCTTGAGGGTGTTTGCCTTGGGAGGGTCAGTGGCTTCTCGCGGGGGCCTGCAGTGCTGTAAGGCCGTGTTTGGGATGGCTGTGGCTCATCCGTGTAGGTATTTATACAGCCCCTTTATTGTGGTGTCCAGGCAGCTCCCAGGTAATTAAATAGAGGAGCAGCCGCTCTTTCCTAATTCCTGCTGTGAAAGGAGAAGAGGGGAGCAGGAAGATTCACACATCAGATTTTGGAGTTTTACATTTCAGTCCCATCCAAGTGCAGCATCCAAGACATGGTTTCCTTCTAATTCATGGGAATTGAACTAAAATGAGGAAAACTGTATGGAAGAGAAGCTACAGGCACCTCTCAGTGGGCTGGTGCAGCAGCTTCCTTAAGCTGAAGTGCACCAAAGCCCGGCCTTTTCATTATGAACGACCTGAGTTTGTTCATCTCACTCTCCCCCGTGTCTCAGTCATCCTTCCCTGTTCCCTGGGAATGAGCCACTGATGGAGCGACCCCCGGCAGTCCAGGACAGCTCTGGGGACTGGCCAAGAGCAGAGGCCGTGGGGAAACAGGGCAGGTGTGGCACAGGGACCTCAGCTGAACTCCGGAGAGCCGCAGCTTTCCTGGGTACTGCTCGTCCCCGGCATCTCTCGTGCACGAGCAGTGAGGTCACCCCAAAACGACTCAGAAAAAGAAAACCCTTTCACCCTGTTCTGGCACCTTGCATCTGAGACCTCCCATAGGTTGAGCAAACATTAATTAGTCATCAGGCAGCGGTGGAAAAGCGTGGCTGTGCATCATCAGAGCACGGCGCGTGGAAATTCCGGGGGATGTCGTGCAAGCGGGAGCAGACCTGCAGCAGAGCAGGGACAGGGACAGGTTGTTTCCAGCATCCCTGACTCTGTTTCTGACCCTCCCAGCCGGGCTCACAGACCCACCCTGGCTCAGGAGAATGCTGTGGTGTCTTTTCCACCCATCTGTCCAGGGCTTTCTCAGGACGGCAGGGCAGCGGCACAGCAGCAGCAGCTCAAATTGTTCAGTTTCATCACAGCCCTGGCCACAAGCTGTCAGGCAATAACTATTTTTGTACCACAGGCAACTCAACTTTCTGCAGCTGAGGAAACTGTGCTGAGGGGTTTCTGCTCTGCTGAGATCTGGGGGGAAGCCGAGGATCAGAAATGCTCAGAGGGTTCATTCCTGTGCTCACAGAAGGGAAGTGGCTTTGCCAACTGACAGAACAGCCAGTGTTTCCTCCACGCTTTTTTCCCCCAGTCCTGGTCTTGAGCAGGTTTGCTCGACTCTCCATCAGAGCAGTTCATTCCAGGGCGGTTTTGCCTTGCTTTGGGATTCTTTCCCAGCTTCATTTTCCTTACCCCATCTCACACCAAATCTTTTATTCCATTTGTACAAACATCTTTATTCCTACGAGTGCTTTTGAGCTGGACACAAATGGAGACCAAGGAGTCCCATCCTAGGCTGGCTGAGGTGCAAAATTTGGATTAAACTCCCTCTTGGCATTGAGGCCTAATTCAGTGCTCTCAGAAGAAACCAGCAAGTAAAAAAGTGCGTTCCAGGGAGGTGAGTTCTCCCTGTGAGGAGCAGGACAGTGGACAGGCCACTGACAGAAGATTTAGGGACTGATACCAAAAGGCTTTTTTTTGGTTGTACAGCAAAGACCAAAAGGGGATAGAGGAGGTTATGAATCTACACAGGCTCCCTTTTCTGCTGCAGCAGGGTTTTAACAGCAAGTTAAAGTCAAAGTTGATGCGAGTTTTCTCTTCAGCATCATTATTCCTGGGAATAATGCAGAGCTCCACAGTGCTGCTGGCAGGGAACTTCTCCCACCACCCTCTCTGGGCAGGAGCACATGCCATTTCTGGAATCAGCGTTGTGCTGTGGGAACGGGAAGCTGATCATCAATTTCTAGGAATGGAGATTGTAGGAAAAGCTTTTCTCATTAAAACACCCATTCTGGAGGCCAGTGCAGAGGCTGATACCAGGCCTCATTTCATACGAAAATGATTTGTGCCCTGCCCTGTCCAGCAATTACCATAAATAATGTGGTTGTCGCAGAGCAGATGAGTGTCCTTGTCACAGCCAGTGCTCCATCAGCTCCCTGTGGAAAGCTCGGCAGGGACATTAAGGACTGGCTGTGCCACATTATTTAATACCCTTTCAGAGCTGTTTGAGAGGTTGGGTAGGCCTATGGGCTGGGGTACAGCAGAACTTTGCATTACAGCCAGGCTAATAATGGATTTTTCAGCTCTGTGGCTGAACCAAGAAATCCCGTGGGGAAGAGGAAAATTGTTTCAGTGAAACTGGAACAGTGATGTTGGGAGGTTTCAGTGAAGCAAAGTGATCCTGACCAACCTGGCAGATTTTGGGTTGAGTTGCCCAACCCTTCCAATGTGGTTGTGCTGCTGTTTGAGGTCAAGACTTCTTCACTGGGGAAGAAACTGACAACTTCTCATCTGGAGAAATGCAGAACAAAAAATCTTATTTTAAAAATGGTGGTTTAGAACCCTCCCTCTTCTGGCTAAAAATATTGCTGAATTTGACCCGAAGCCATGAATTCTTTTTGTCCCTCGAAACTCATATTTCATTTGTCTGCTTTTGATGAATTTACTGTTTGTGGAGAAGCCCCCACCCACGCTGCCCACTCTGTGCAGCTGCAGCTCTGAGCCCTTCCCTGGGTCCCTTCTCTCTTGGCCGTCACCAGGATGCAGATCCTTGTCCTGTGTCCCCTCTTCCTGCACCCTCCTGGCTGCTGCCACCCCTGTGTGCCCATCCCTGTGCCCAGGGACACAGCTCCATCCCAGCTCTCCTCTGCCAGCCTGACCCCCCCACAGCATTTCCTCCAAGCAGAATTCCAAGCCAGGGAATCGAGCATCTCTCAGCAGCAGCAAATCCATCCTGCAGAGAGCACTTGGCATAGAGACTTTGGCTCTCTGGCTTCCTCCAGGGCTGGATTTCACCCCACTGTCCCGTAGCTGTGAGCCAAAGAAGATTTGTAGGTGGAATAAAACAGTTTCCTTTTATTTGCGTTAACTCAAATCCTTTGGCGTGGCAAGGAATTGTAGCTAGGGAGGGATGCCTGGAACAAACGTGTCAGGAATTAGGGAGGGAGAAAAGAATCTGTATTTGGAAGGCAAAAGAAGAGTGAAACAGTGAGTAATACCACGCTGTGTGTGCCCCTGTCCACTGGTACCTCCTGCAGGACAGTGGATATGATGCTGCTGCCTGGCAAACATCCCAGCATGGGAAAATTACCCCCAGCTCCCCGGGATTTGAGCTGATCTGCTGCTTGTCCTGGGTTTAGTTCTCTCCGTCTTCAACTTTACCCCTTGCAGATGTGCAGGACTGATGTTCCAGGGAAGCTTTGCTATGAATTGGAGCAGGGTCCCAGCCACATTCTCTCCCTTTTGCACATCTTTGAGCTCTTGCTGCCCCTTCTGCAGACAGAGGATCCTCCTATGGATTCACAATCAGTTAATGGGATCAGGATCTGTTCATGGTGCTACCCTGATCTTCCTCTGCTCCTGCCAGTATCCCACAGGAGCTGCTGCCCCCCCTTGGCTTTGACATGAGGAAGGCAACAATGCAACTCCTTCCTGCTATCCTCGTGGGACAGATTAAATTTGGATTGTTGCTGTTTTTCCCTCATCTCTTCCAGAGTGGCTGATGCTGAGGCTCTGCCTGCCCTCACTGCTCCCCTCTGCTGCAGAGGAGGGGTTCCCTCTGCCTTCCCCAGCAAAGATTTGTTCCCAGTCCCTGTCAACTCCCAGCTTGTTGCTCAGCAAAGCAAACTGGTGAGATCTGATGTCAAGTGGGAGGGCTGGAGCCACTGGGGAGCAGAGAAAATCCTCTTGGTGTTCAGCTGCCACTGTGTGAGTGCCACCAGCACACAGAACTGCAGCTGCTCTTCCTCCTTGTGCCCTTGCCTCATTTCCTTCGGTCCTTGCACTGCCCTTCATCTGAACCCCTGGGAATGCTCTGTGTGTGGCTCCTGTGCTGTGCCCACTCCCTGAGCATCCTTATCCCTGCTTCCAGAGCCTCCCCATCCCACAGGATGCTATGCCTGGCCCTGGTTATCACTGAGTTATAAACTGCAAGTGCCACAGACCTGCAAGACCTCCTGCCACAGACCTCCTGCAAGGGCAGGAGGGCTGGGGTGTTCTCTTGAGCAATGGAGCTGTCACATTGTTTGTGTCAGCCAAGCTGGGCCCAGGGGATGTGGGAGGATCTCACAGGGCTGCCACTCACTCCAGCCTTTGGATGCAGCCAAAACTTAACAACAAAAATCAGGAATACACAGGAATCAACATGTGCCCTTGTGGTAATAAAGTAGAGAGGAGAAATCACAACTATTTTTAGCTGTGAGCAGCCTGCTTTCCTTAAAATGCATGTTCCAGATTTTTATATCTTTCCTGCACCTTTGAGGCCACTTCCCTCCCAAAAAACAAAAGTTCTGACAGGAAAAGGAACTTGGACCTCTTTGGGACCTCTGCCCTGACACAGCTCCTGCAGAAGCTGGGGGACAGCAGGAATGCCAGGGAACATCAGGGATGCTTCCAGGCTGTTGGCTGAGGGCACTGATCTCCAGGCTGAGTCAGAGCCCAGATCTTTGGATTTAGAAGGTTTTTATTCTGTTTTGGCCAGCTCAATCTGTAACTTTTTTTAAAAAAACAACTCTTGAAATAAAGCAGGATCTTTTGATTTTCCGGAGAAAATACACAAAACCAAAATGTTTAGGGAATGTGTGCAATGCACAGAGGAGAGGATTAACTCCTAATCCAATGGAAAACATCAGG